TTCTGAGCCGGGGGGGCGGCGGGCCTTTCTGAGGGGGCAGCTGGGTGCCAGCGCCTATTTCGGATCCTGTGGTCAGCCGGGCCGCGGAGCCCGCAGTTTACGTTTCTTCAGTGAGCTGGGAAACGCCCCTCTGCTCCTCGGCCGCGGCGCAGGCTCTGCCCTGCTCTGCCCGCGTTTCCGCTAGGCCGCCGAGCACAGAAGCGCTCTCCTGCCGGGAGGAGCCGTCCCGAATTTGTCTCCCAGGTCATTTGGCATAGGTTGTAAAACGCGTGTAGAAGGCCACTGGATTACACCGTTGTCCGTGGCCGCCTCCACTTCTTACCCTGTCCACGCCAAAACATTGAATTACATGGTTTATATAATAACTCACTATCTAAATCTCGTAAAATTCTGGAAACAAAGTTTGAACGCTGAAAGCTACAACTACAGAAAAAAAGGGAAGGGGAGCAAGTGGGCAGACTCAAAGAAATGTCTGCCCCCTCACAGCAGTTGCTATCTCTCGTGCCAGATTCTTTCCCGTTAGCTTTCTCAGAAAGATACTTGTCATATTTCAGCCCAAGACATACCGCACCTCCATCCACTCATCTTTTCACACACGCTTTCCCCCTAGCTACTGAATATTTCATCAGAGAAGAGCACTACTTTTCCATTTCTCTCTTGACACATCGCCAATGCTAGAAAACTGAAAGCGGGGTCTGAAGTAGACATTTACTAAGTCACCTCAGGTTATCTTTTTACTTAACAGAAAATAAAGTTGAAGGATCAGACCAGCTGACAAACTAAAATGGGTGCTCAGGGTGAGATAAGTCACCTACAGAGGCGCTCATTTCTCTCCACTGATTTAAAGGAAATTCAGGGAGACACTTAAGTCTGGTCATGACGTTAGGACACGTAACTTCTCTTTCCCAGTATCCAGCAACTCAATCCGTACCCAAATATCTTATCTTCAGGCTCAAATTTGTTAGTGCAAACCACAATCACAAAATGCAGGTACACCAAATGCCTGGTTTCTGCAAGGCAAGTATTTTATTTGAGAAGGAGAAATCTTAAGTTCACATGTACTTTCCAATGTAATACATGTATTTTTGTTAACATTAATAAATACTAGTACACATGCACTTTGCTGTTTTCTCAGACCTGGATCTTCTAGCTATCAGCTCCAATTTCAACTGTATTCTAACTCTATTATTCCACTTTTCCACTGTTAGAATTGTATTAAGTGTTATAACCACACCATTACAACTTCCCCTAATTGTAGCCCAAATTCCAAGGAAGTAACAACTTTTAACTATTTGTATTATATTTACAGAGAATGAAGTGCATTTTTTAAATAGTATGAATTACAACATCTAACTTTAAAGTTTATTAAATCTTTATAACACAGCCATTTAAAGCTGAAAAAAAGTAAACATATCTGAGCATTTTTGAATATAACATTTTAGGTATTGGTCATGACAACCATCTGAAGCCTAAAATCTTACTCAAATTTTCTGATTCACATAAGCATTTGTCGGACTGCACTTACATCTACTTTCTTTACCACTTTCTTCCATTAAAAAACCATGGATTTGTTAATAAACTCTAGCTCACATTGCATGCCAATTTCTTTGTTGCACAGTTTTCTCCCCAAATTCTCATTGCCTATGTTTTCTGTAAAAATAAAGCAGTTAGGAATATTAAAAAACATTATAAAGCCATCTAACTGTTCCTTCAATAATCCAGCAGTGGCAGAACAGACTAGCGTTGCCTACTGTACATTATTTTATAAATTTGAAAATACATCAAGCACCAACCAAGACAGCAGCAATAGATGCTTTCTTGTCATCAAAACACTAAGCCTCCCTCCCACTTTTTGCTATCTTTTTACAAAGTTATTTAAATATGTTACTGTCATAGTGTAACACGCTGAAATATCATACTAAAACTACTGTATGTTATTACGAAATTTGTGTGGTAACAACCCACTTTCTGACCATACAGTTAATTACCAAGGAACTACAGAGACATCCCTTTTAAGAAATACCACTGAAATTTAATTTCTCATAGGAAGAGAAAAACAAAAACATGTAAGTAAATTACATTAAATTAAAATAAATATTAGAAATGTTATTAATTATATATGCTTGCCAAGTGCAGTCCAAAGGGCCTTGTCTACTCTTTAAATCAAAAAGAGAATGTTTTCATTTTCAGATTCATAGAATCTGATTTAAATTTTGGATCAGGACACTTAACATGGGAAAGGAAAGATGACAGAAATATAAATGGAAAAGGGATGGAAACAGAGAGAGAAAACTAAAACAGAACAAAAAAGGGTACAGGTAAGGAACTAGTTATTACTTCCAGCACCACAATGCCACAACAGTAGCTCTCAGTAATGAACTGCTAATAGAGCAGCAGCAGAAGTGGCAAGATGCAAACAACTGTGGAAATGCAGCAGCTAAGAAGCGAGACTCTCCACAGAGAGTAAGGTTAGGCTGACTCTCATACTACTTTTCCAACCTAGTGGAGCCTTCACATGCAGTGCAGTCTTTTCCTTCAGCAGGGTATGAATCTGTGCTAGTAAACTAGTGTGTAAGTTAAAAATTACACAATCACTCGTAACATTTAGTGAGGGGCAAAAGTGTACTAAGCCTTTTGCATGTCAGGTGTTTTTATCATCAACATTAATTCCTACTTTGTGTTACTTCTGATAAGCAGGGGGGCTGTTCATTACTGAGGGACTAGGTCAGAATTTCTCAAACCTATCTGGTTACTTTAGAAGTTTTCTCATTACATTTAGGGTAGAACCCCTATATCCCGTCCCAAAGTGGTTCCAGTGGTTTATGTAATTAAAGAGCTGATACAATTTGTTTCGTTTCTCAAATCCTGGAGCTTTGGGTATTTTACTGTGATAGGCGGAGAAAAAACAGCTGCTAAACCCACCAAACATTCCAGCAATGGCCAGTTCAAATTCTGAATGGCCATAGAAGGAAGCAGGGTCAAAGATAATTGGCCCAGAGTCGTCCTCAGCCACGTTTCCTGCCCACAGGTCCCCATGCAGGAGAGCAGGAACAATTTCTACGTCACAGAACATTTCAGGAATCTTTAGCTGAAAGAGCATGAACAAACATGGCAACAATTAAAGAGTTTTGAACAAAATCTTAAATAAAACAAAGTACTGTAGTATAATAGAGACTAAGCTGGTTAAATACTGCCTGTTTTCAGTCCTCATGGAGTGCTTTTGAAGTCGATGGCTAGAAGCATAAACCTGAACTGTGAGCCAGTAGTAAGTGTTCTTGATTGTTCTTGACAGAGCTTAGCAAATCATTTAATTCACAGTCTAGTATCAACATCTAGTATTAATGTATTGTTCCTAGACATGGATAGTATTGGCTGTCACAAGAAATATAAAATAAATTTCATGTAAATTGAAAGGTTTCAGTGGCAAAATGGACAATAGTAAACATCTGTACCAATTAACCAGAATTAAGGAACAAATCTGTGATGCAGAGCTTGCAGAGGAATACATTCCTGGCTGTTTCCTAAGTGCTGTACAGTGTGTGACCTGAACCACAGTCTTAGCTGTGAGCCTGGATCAACTGGGGGAAAAAAAAAAAAAA